GAAACTTAATACCAACATCAATAGTGCCAAGAATGTACCTAAGAATCCATTTTACAGCCTGCCAATGCTCTTTACCAGGATTATGCATATAACGACTCACCATGCTTACAGCGTGTGAAAGATCAGGTCGAGTACACACCATAGCATACATCAACGCACCAACAGCATTTGTATAAGGGATGTTCTCCATATACCTTTTGTCATCATCAGAACTTGGACACATGGAAGCACTAAGCTTGAAATGAGGAGCAAGTGGAGTACTAACGGGTTTGGTTGAATTATTCAAACTAAATCTTGACAATACCTTGCGTAGATATTGAGACTGAGTCAACCAGACTGTACCTTTTTTCCGATCTCGCTCTATCTCCATTCCAAGTATTTTCTTTGCATTGCCTAAGTCTTTCATTTCAAATGTTTTAGAAAGCTCATCTTTGAGCTTATCAATCTCCATCTGTCTCTTTGAAGCAATTAACATATCATCAACATATAAGAGCAAATAGATAAACGATCCATCATCGAGACACCGATAATACACACAATGGTCAAATTGACTATGAGTATACATATGCTCTACCATGAAATGATCAAACCTTTTATACCATTGGCGAGGGGATTGCTTCAGCCCATACAAAGATTTCTTCAATCTGCATACTAAATGTTGCTGTCCAACTACTTGGAAACCAACTGGTTGCGCCATATATATTTCTTCTTCCAAATCTCCATGCAAAAAAGCAGTTTTTACATCAAGTTGTGCAAGCTCAAGATTAAATTGAGCAACCAAAGCCAACAAAATTCGAATGGAAGAATGCTTTACCACAGGTGAGAAAATTTCATTGTAATCAATACCTTCCTTTTGTGCGTAACCTTTAGCCACAAGTCGAGCCTTATAACGTATACCAGAAGAGTCTTCCTTTTTTGCAAAAACCCATTTACAACCAATTTCCTTCTTACCTTTTGGAAGTTGTACCAAATCCCAAGTTTGATTTATCTCCAATGATGCTATCTCCTGATTCACAGCCTCTTGCCAGTGTAAGCTATCCGGGCTCTGAATAGCATCTTTGTAGCTGTTAGGAACTCCATCAATCAAAGAGAAAGCATATGCTATCGTATCATCAAACCTTGCAGGTTTTCGAATTACCCTTCGTGGTCTATTCTTGGCGATTGACTCAGGTTCCTCCACTCTTTCATTCACAAGGCTTTGCTCCTCAAGACTTTGCTCTTTTTGTTCTAAGACATCAAAGTTATTATTTACCTGATCAATAGGTTCTTCGGTAGGAGTATCCACATCAGGAGAGAACACCACCTTCTCCACCTGCTTCAATGCCTCGTCATTATTTTCAATTTTCTGCAAAAACATTCCAGACTCATCGAATGTCACATCTCGACTATTAACAATTTTACTTGTTTCTGGACACCATAACCTATAGCCCTTCACACCTTTGCTAAAGCCCATAAACTTGGCTTTTTTTGCTCTAGGATCCAATTTTGAGTTTGTCACATGATAATAAGCAGGACACCCAAACACATGCAATTTATCATAATCACTAACAGGACTACCTGACCATACCTCAAGCGGAGTTCTCCCACCGTTTCCAGAAACAGGTAAACGATTCACCAAGTGAACTGCATAACTGAGAGCCTCAGCCCAAAATGCCTTACTCAATCCTGCTTGAGACAATATGCATCGAACCTTCTCTATTAATGTCTGGTTCATTCTCTCAGCAACTCCATTTTGTTGTGGCTTACCAGGAACAGTGAAGTGTCGAACGATCCCTTCATCTCGGCATATTTTAAGGAATGGATCATAAGTATATTCTCCCCCGTTGTCTGATCTCAGCTTTTTGATTTTCCTATCCGTCTGATTCTCTACCATTTTCTTCCACTCTAGGAAGATTTGGAGAACCTCGTTTTTGTGCCTCATGGGATACATCCAAACTCTCTTCGAGTAGTCATCAATAAAGGTGACAAACCACCTCTTTCCTCCCAATGAGACATTCTTTGTGGGACCCCATACATCGGTGTGAACATAATCCAAAATACCCTTTGTTTGGTGTATAGCTGTACCAAACTTCACATTTTTTTGTTTACCAAATATACAATGTTCACAGAAATCAATTTTTCCAGTTGTGGCACCCTTAAGGACTCCTTGGTTCACCAATGTCTGAAGCGCCTTCTCACCAGCATGCCCGAGTCGCATGTGCCATAATTTCGATATGTCTTGTTCTTTCGAACTTGCCATAGCAGCATGCCCAATTATTGTGGTTCCGTTGAGGTAGTATATGCTACCTCTTCTAGTTCCTGTAATTGCCACCAAAGCTCCACGAGCTACTTTCAAATTCCCTCCTTCCAAAATGATGCGATAACCACTCGCATCCAAAACGCCAAGTGAAATCAAGTTTTTCTTCAAGTCAGGAACATACCTCACATCTTTGAGTTTTCGTATAACCCCATCAAACATCTTGATTTGTACTGAGCCGATTCCCATTATCTTGCAAGTACTATCATTGCCCATATAGACAACTCCACCATTGAACTTTTTGAAGTCCAAAAACATCTCTTTGTTGGGACACATATGATAGGAGCACCCAGAATCAAGAATCCATTCAATGGTTTGGCTGGCTGATAGGGAGATTGTCAAGGCATCATCTGTATCAGTGTCGTCATCTTTAACCACATTGGACTTCGACCCCTTCTCTTTTAAGATCGAACAATCTTTCTTCCAATGGCCTTTCTGTCGACAATATGCACACTCATTTTTATCAAGTTTTCTCCAATTATCAGATCTACCTCTCGACTTTAATCGAGACTCTCCACATTCGTTCCTTTTCCAGGTAGAAGTTCTTCCATGAGCAGTGAGAACATTTGAGCTAGAGCTTTGATACGTCTCCTTTTCCTTCTTTCGCATCTCATTGTTTATTAAGGCATTTGAAACATCTTCAAAATCAATATTAGTGATTCCATGTAGTAGGGTTGTTACTAAAAACTCGTAGGATTCCGGCAAAGAGTTTAATAACAACAACGCCTTGTCCTCGTCATCAATCTTAACATCAAGATTGAGCAAATCAGTGATGATTTTGTTAAAATCATCCAAATGCTCAGCCATTGAGATACCTTCCTTGTAGTCAAAACGGAAGAGTTTCTTCTTCAAATAGAGTTTATTTTCCACACTCTTCCTCATATATTTCGCTTCAAGCTTGTCCCATAATTCTTTCGCCATGGTAACCTTCATAAATGGATATTTCTGATCCTTGCCAAGACAGGATCGAATAATTCCACAGGCTTGCCGATTTAATTTTGTCCATTCTGCTTCTGTCATATCTTCAGGCATCTCCTCTTGGAGAGAAACATCGAGGTCTTGCATGACCAGCAAATCGCTAACTTCGCCTCGCCAAACACCAAAATTATTGGTTCCATCAAATTTTTCTACTTCGAGATTGGAACTCCACACTCTCGATCCACGTCGTGATGGTTCGGCCATTTGCAATAATTAATCTGGATGTAACTCAAAAACACAATTCTTGAAAACTGATTTCCAAGAGAATAAACACGATTGTGAGCACGTCTAATGGTCGATGAGGCCCAAACTTTCACAATACCCCCAAATACCACAACCTGGCTCTGATACCACTTGTTGTGCGCCGAAAGCGGAACAAATGTACTCACAACACCAAAGTTACTCAAGACATACAATATGACACTCAAAACTTAATGATTTCAACAGCAGAAAGAATGGCATTATATAGCCTTCTGCTAAACCTAAAGATAAACTAACAAGCCAAAAAAAGACCTTGAGAATAGGTCTTGGTCCTAGAGAATAGGACTTATGACAGTGTTCAACATGTAGAACACGAACGTAGGGACTCCAAATTGGTTGGCTACATCCACCATGGGAATGCAGAACATGTCGACGACGAACCCAGCAAGTGTCGGGGAGTCCGGTCCTCCGTCCGGGGCGGAGGTGAGGTTAGCGACGGCCGTGGCAACGTTTTGTTTCTGAGATTGGACGAGGGGGTCAAGGAGGAGGGTCCTTTTGGTGCCGTTGGGGATGGGTTGTTCCGGGAGGGTGATGAATCGGATCCGGTCGGAAGCAGAGGAGGAACAGAGGGATTGGATTAGAGGGGCAGATTTGGTGGGGAAAGGGAGTTTGATTATGAGAATGGTGATTGAGAGTGGAAGGTGTCGAGTTGTGAGGAGGTTGGCCAGGTGGACGGCGGCGGTGAGGTGGCCGATGACCGGCGTCGGGATGAACACCAGCTCCAGCTTCTTCATTTTCAGCACAGGACAGAGGAGGGTATTTGTGTAATTATATTGAAGTTTTTAACAGAGATGGATGACGTCATGGCTTCGCTGTGCCTTTGGATAAAGAATTAATATTTATAGTGATAATAATATATTATGGTTGGGGAATCAAATAATTGACAACTACTAGGGATCGATAAGGTAGGATCCGGTTGAGCTTAGAAATGTCCACTGGGCGCGTGAAAGGCTAGACAATAAGTGAACCTTAAACGCTAAACCCTAAACCCTAAAGTGCATGTTGATTAAGGTTGACAATGCAACAGCTCAAGCCACCGCTAGTAGATATTATCATTTACGGGTTTTACTTCAGAGTTTTAAAATGTGTTTGATAGGGAGAGATTTCCCACTTTTTACATGTTTTGTTCTTCTCTCTAATTAATGTGGGATCTCACAATCCATCATCTTCAGGGTCCAATGTCCTCGTTGACACTCCATTTGGATTGGACCAGGTCGGGTCAAGTCGAGCTAAGGAAATACTCTATTAGGAATAACCCACTTGAACTTCGTTGGCAAAGCTTTTCAAAGCTAACTCAACACCTTCAAATTCTTCACTCACGTCTCTCGTGTCCATGACCAATCCATCAATATACACAAATTCAAACAACAATTCAAACTTTCGATCTCTTCTTTGATATTTGCACTTTTAAAACATCAATCGACCAATTACTATTTCTTAAAACATACTCAGAGCATCGATTGAGTTTTCACTATTATGTAAACATACTACCAATACTCATCACCATAACATGATCGACTAGTCAATACAGACCCAAAGTTGAATCTACGATAAGATTTAAGAACAAATCTTCGAGGTTTCAGTGGTTGCCTTCGGGAGCGTTGGCCAAGACATCATCAATAAAACGACACAACGAAACAAACGACGAACCACCGTCCCTCATACTCCTCCGACTTTCTTCACTCTTCCCCTTAACTTTCTTCCTAATCTCATTCCCTTCATCCATCAATGTCCTAATCCCACATTCAATCTCTTCACAACTCACAACTCTCAACCTTTCTCTCCCCAAATCCTTCCTATAATCCAAGCACACCGCCACCGCCAATCCCAGCTCCGCCACCATTTCAAACGCATTAAACTGCTGCTCCGCATACATCGGCCACGCCGCCATCGGCACACCATGCCACAAGCTCTCCAACGTCGAGTTCCAACCACAATGCGACACAAACCCACCGGTCGCCGGATGCGCCAATATCTCCGCCTGCGGTGCCCACCCAATAACCCTCCCAACACTCCTAGTTCGCTCAAGAAACCCCTCCGGTAGAGCCTGGTTGATGTCGGCGTAGTCTTTTGGCCCATCCATCGCACCCTCCGGTGGCGGCTGCCGGAGAGCCCACAAGAATCGAACCCCACTTCGCTCCAAACCTCGAGCTATCTCCGCCACTTGATCCTTGTCGAAGCTTCCCCTGCTTCCAAAACAGAGGAAAACCACCGAATCCACCGGTTGTTCATCGAGCCATTTCAGAGCTTCTAAACCATCATTAACACTCGAATTGCATTGCAAAATGGGTCCAATTGCATACAATTTGGGGATTTTCGAGGACCCATTTGACATCCATTTCATCATATGTGATTCCATTTCCACAAATGTATTAATCAAAATCCCCTGTATTTCTGTTCTGAATTTCCTCGTATTATCATGAAACCAAACAGCCATGTCTTTATCAAAGAAGAACCCAGGAATGGCAGTACGAGGAACAGGATTGATAAAACTAGGTAGATTAGCTAATTCCCCATCTGGGTTTTGCAGCAATTCTTCAATGTTCTTGTTTTGTTCATAAAATTCTTGAAGATGAAAGCTAAAAGCAAGAAACCCAGCACTAGAAGTGTAAAACAAATAACAAGGAACCCCAAATTCCTTAGCGACATCCGACATAGTTGTGCAAAACATGTCTATGACAAAACCCACAAGATTTATGGAGCCAATGAGGTTAATAACAGCTTGTCTCACATGGGGTTTGTAAGATTCATAGAGTTTCTCCACAAGAAAGCTGCTGCTGCTGCTGTTACCATCGTTTGGAAAGATTAGTTCAGGAAGAACAATAAACCTTATGGATTTACCTTCAAAAGCGGCTGAAAGGGTCTGTATGTGGTGGGCTGTTTGGGCGTCGTGGGGGAGCTTGATGGCGAGGACAGTGACGGAGAGACGTGCATCTCGGGCGACGAGAAGCTTGGCCATCTCGACGATGGAGGCAAGGTGACCCATGCCGGGGCCGGGAATGAAAACCACCTCGAATTTCTTCATTGGATTCAAAGGGTCGGAGGTTTTAGGAGTGAAGAACTGATGCTGGGGAGCTGATCAATTTATAGAACCAAGAACCCGCCATTCAAGCTAGATCGAAGAGAGTTTAATCATGGATTTATAAGTAAAAGAATACATCTTGTTAGTACGAGAGCTTATGATCCTAGTGGACAATATTATACAATTGTCAGTACTGACCCATCATCGAAAGTAGTGATTTCTAACCCGAGCCGAAAGCAAAGATGGGATTTGAGTTAAGGAATCAAATAGGTTTATAAAAAACATGTTTGGCGGAGAAAACCCTTTTTTTTTTTGTATTTCTCATTCCACTTTTTTTCTTTTTCTTTATTTCTTTATTTTTTTTTTTTTGTTGATCTTTATCTAAATATGTCTTTGATTACTAATTGTGTTTAGTATGGTTTCTCTTTCTTTTAAAACTCTATTTTCTTTTGTTGGGGTATAATTAATTAATTCATTCTAATTCTAATTATAATTAATAATAATAAACTATAATAAAAGTAAGTGTTTTATTATAATAATAATTTCATACCTATATCTTTTTTAGATTACTTTTATTAATAAATTATTATAGTTGTACAGTAATTTAAAAGTGCTACGTATTATTTATTAAAAAATTATATGATATTATTAAAATTATTTGTTTGAAGATGACTATTAACATTTATTACAAAATAAGCTAAAGAAATTAAAATTTAATTAGTTAGAAATATTTTAGTTAATCTAACTTAACAATTATAATTTATAAAATTGTTCAAAATATTTTATTTATATGAAATTCCGACAACATTTTTCGTCTAGTTATTTGATTTTCAAACGTTATATTTCTAAACATTTATATTTTATATACATTTATGAATTATGTTTTATTTTCTTATTTTCTGTTTGGAATAGGACAAAGACAGAACACAAAAAGGCAACAAAAGATGTCAGAGATTTGGTGGGTTTCCTTATTTTTTGTTTAGATTAATGAAGAGAATGATGTTTTATGTGTTTGTTCTTTTGTAATCAGTAATATAACAACTAATAATAAATAATAATTGCAATTGTTGTTGTAGTTTATTCATGGTAGGTTTTTTTTTATCGATAATTCCCATCGTTTTCAATCGAAGCTCCTAAATCTTATCGTAGATTCAATTTTCGTGAGATGCAATCGATTATGTTACGGTGATGCATATTGGTAGTACATTCAAATAATAGTGAAAACTCAAACGAGTTGATCTTTTGAGTATGCTTCTAAAAAGAATAATCAGTCATTCAATATTTCAAAATTTTGAATTATTGTTTGGATCTGTGTATAATGATGAAATGGTCATGGACACGAGAGATATGACGGAATAATTTGAGGTTGTTGAGTTGGCTTTGGAAAAACTTTCCAACCTAATTCCTGTTTTTCCAACCTAATTCCTAATGAAACCATTCTCTCTCTCTGATTTTAGAGTAGATGACGTTTTTGTCAAAGATTAGGCGAAGAGATTGCACGAGAATAGGTGCCAAGTGGGTTATACTCATTCTAAATCTCACACCTTTAAACAGACGAAACTTGTTCTCATAAACGGAAGAACACACGAGAGGAAAAGATAAACGTTAGATTTTAATAAATAAATATACAAACTTAGAATTTTTTTACAAGCTCAAATAAAGTAAGCATCTGTAACATAAATGTCAGAAGTTCGAATTCTCCACGCTTCACTCTACGTATTATTTTACTACCTAGAACATCAAACGCCAGCGCAAGACCACTAGACAAGCTTTTTCTTACTCATTCCCAACTCAAAAGGATCAAAATCTTGAGATTTGTATATACACAAATACCTATTTCAGCAGGAAAGAGAACTTTTCTTCTAAGTTCCTAAAATTTGGTATTATTATGTAAAAGAATATTGAGTTACATATATTGGCATTACAACAAAGAATGGAATCAAATAACATAATTAATTACCTTTACCTTTTGTTTTCTTTTCTCCTCGCAGTAAGAGCAACGTCCGAGCATCAAACAGCTGAAAGACTTGCCCATTTTCCAAGTTCATAAGGATCTGCATAGTAAAAAAGCTTAATTCTATTAGACAAAGACAACCCTGCTGCAAAAACCCGAAATCCAGAATCGTCTTGTTCAGCTGGGTCATCGGAAAACGCTGCAACATCGCCGAGAAGTTTGAATATAATTCTTCTCGTTTGTACAGGTCTAGGCAAATCGAAGTAAAATCCTGTTCCAGCTTTCGCTTCCGGTAGTCGGTACTCGGCAATAGTTACTTCATTATTGGGCTCCTGTAAAAATCATGTTAACTATAAGCATGATTGAAATACTAAAGTAACTTTCCAGGAAAAAATATAATCAGTGCCCTTGAACAAAGATACTCAGCATCAGATGAGAATCGCCCAAATTAGACAATTCTGGCGAGAGTATCTGCTTTCCTTATTTGAGAGATTCAAAAAGAGCTAAATAAACTAAACATCAGAATGAAAATTTTGTTCGAGACGAAAACCGTTCTGAGAAATGAGAAAATAGGATCCTTCTGCATGTAGTTGTTGTCCATGGAAAACAGTTAATGGATTGTATCCTAGCTACATATGTTTTTGTGATATCCCATATTGGTTGGGGAGGAGAACGAAACATCATTTATAAGGGTGTGGAAACCTTTCCCTAGCAAATGTGTTTTAAAACCTTGAGGGGAAGCTCGAAAGGAAAAGTCCAAAGAGGACAATATCTGCTAGCGGTGGCTTGGGCCATTACAGTTTTTATGCTAAAGTTGTATACTAAACAAAGTGTGAGATTCCACGTTGGTTGGAGAGGGGAACGAAATATTCTTTATAAAGGTGTGAAAACCTCTCCCTAGCAGACGTGTTTTAAAACCTTGGAGGAAAACCCGAAAGGGAAAGCTCAAAGAGGACAATATCTGCTTGTTACACAAAAACTATTTATTATCTGAACAACATAAAACAAAGACTACTAGTTACCTGAATAACGGAAACTTGTAGATATATTACAGCAGGATAGATGTGTCGATCTTCTAAAAATGTAACCGAGGCATCCCAGACTTGTTCATCTGAAAAAGGTGAATGGGTAACTCGAGGTTTTATTGCACCGAAAGCCTCCAGACGGAACCCAGCAATCATTGGGCAAGCTGGAGATAGATACTGTTCCATGACAATATCGTTGTCCATAACCCTTTCAGCTTCAATTGGAACCTAAAGAAAACAAAAGGACAGTTAACAGCAAATTAGTACTGGAGAATTTTGACAAATGCCACAGAGACTAGACATTATAGACCACCCACAAGAGAAGAATTTCTACCTTGAATCTCCTTAATTGAGGGGCTCTCTCCAACCAGGACCTGTCAGTATTAGTCACTTGATCAGAGTCTGATGATGATTCAAGGGCCATCTCTTTTCTCGCTGGGATTCCGACTACGATTATTCGTTTAGCATGGAGACAAGGAATAGCTTCACTCGATCCTCCAAAGGATCCAAAGGATCCTAACGAGGCACGTCGATTAACTTGTGGATTAACTGGGGCAACAGGATTTTCATCTAGAAGAGACAAGAGGTCAAAATTTTTCATAAAATTAAAAGAACTGGAACCAGCGCGTTGGAGGCGTAGCGTCATCCAAATGATGCGGCATCTAACAGGGCTTTTAAAGGTAAACCGGACATGTCTAGGTGCTGCATCCTCGCTGTGTTTTCTTTCTGGTCCACAAAAATCAAATGAAGATGGAATCAAGGATTGAACATCCCACTTTCCAATATATGACCGTTCTTCCCTGTGAATAAAATTACTCGCCCAAATTTGTACCTGATATGAGAGAAGGGTACAAGTTTCAATATCCAGCAAGATTTCAAAGCATTGTAATAATATATTCTAAATTCATGGTTCAAATCTACCCCCTGTAGAGATGTGTCGTCTCATTTTTTGTTTATTCAAGTCGACGAAAAACATAATATGCACGAGCAAAAAAGTCTAATAAGACATGAACGCAAATGTTCCCGGTGCTAGAAAGTTGTATTTGACACAAAATGCAAAGTTACAAAAAATCGCAGACTGATTAAGTAAAACAAGTCGACAAAACTATGACTTACACATAGCAAAGGTTATATCTGCCATGAAATAATATTCAGTTAAAATGATTTTTTGTTCTTGAGCACCATCATGATGATCCTGCAGTGACTTATTCAACTATCCCTGTTATGCTTGCAAGATACATTTCTGGAATACTTACACTCTTATGTCTATGTAGGCTCTAATAACAAGCCCATTGACTACCAACACACTAACAAAGAAGCATATTAAGCACGCAAATGTTAGTACTTACAATTGGAGTATCTCCTGCAGAGTACCCACACGGGCTCACAATCATGATGACACTACTAACATCAGAAATGGAACCAAGAACAATAACAAATTCAGCAGAGGTTGTGTTAGGAGGAGCTTTCCAATATGAAGAAAACGAACCAGAACCTAAGGGAGCAAGCAATGACAAGGCTGGTGCTGAATCTGCTGCTGTTTCAACCTACAATTACGCAAAACCCTGCAAATTATTATAAATTACAAAGACAACCAAATGGAAAACTTTTGCGAGTTGGATGACACAATTCTTGGAATAATATCAGACAATTTTCAAGAGATGAAAACATTAGAGTATCTTGAAATGTCTTTTCTAAAAAGAGAGTTAATTTTTAAAAATAAAATCACATTCCATTCTGTGTCTTCGAGAATGTAAGGTAAGTAGCAAAATGGAACCGATAACAGTACCAAATTCAGAAGGCAGTGTACTAACTTTGTCATGAACAAAAGGCTAAGCCACCAGCCTTTTATGGAATGATATCAATGCCGATGAATTCCGAAAATTCAAATAAATTTCTAATAACTTCTATTGCATGTCTAGCAAAAAGATCTTCGAGTGATTTGTCACCAACCAGGACATCCTACCAAAATTTGGTTCCCTTTTCATTGCCAAGTTTAAAACCAAAAGTAATGTAAACCAAGCTTTTGTAAGAGGCCATAGCTTTGCAATGGCTCCTAGCATTATATCTTTGGGGACCA